GGGGCCCAGAACTGGACGCAATATTCCAGATGCGGTCTCACCAGGGCAGAGTAGAGGGGGAGGAGAACCTCTCTCGACCTACTCACCACCCCCCTCCTGATACACCCCAGGATGCCATTGGCCTTCTTGGCCACAAGGGCACAGTGCTGGCTCATGGTCATCCTGCTGTCCACCAGGACCCCCAGGTCCCAGGCAGAGCACGTGGAGCAGAGGAAAGAAGTCCATCAGAGGACTGTTTGCCCAAATGTCTACCCTAGTTGTGTTTTTTAGTGGCAGGGGGGGGGGGGGGGGGGGGGGGGTGTCAGGCTGGGGAATCTGTGGGCCAGCGGCAAAGGGATTCAGGGAAGCTCATAAACAGTCAGTACAGAGAAATAATGAGCAGTGAGACTACAGATGTAGCAGTCCCAGGTGCAACACTAGGAGGACCAGAAGCCAAACGCCATACCTGTGCAGTGTTCATATCTCCCACGCCAAGGACCTGAGCCCTGCTGACCTTTACCAGTGTAAGCCAGAAAAAATAGCTTGGCATCAGGCACAGCCACATGAGACACAGCCATGTGGTGCCTGCAGGCAGGCAACCGAAATGTCACAGAGTGAGGACAGGACCATCTGCCAGCTAAGCACCTGAGACACTTGCCCAGGAGAGGATTTTTGTCATCTATCATGGCTAACAGGCAGCCCCCTGGCAGCAGTGTTTAGAGGGAAAACCTATCACTAATAGACCTCAGGAGTCTGTAAATGCTGGAAAAAAGAGCTTCTGGGCTCTTTTCTTCTGGACATTTCACAGTACTGGCCAGGGGAAGAAACTGACTTAAACAGTGCAAGAAGAGAGGAGCAGCTGGCAGTAAGGTCAATTAGTAAGATTTTTATGCCAGTATCTTATCTTATGACATCTATCTGTATATGCTAGACTAACCAGGTCTGTTCTAAGTTCCTACAGTATAATAAGCAGACCTGAATGCTCCCTCCTCAAACACATACAGAGCTAAAAAGTTATGAGAACTTACCAAGAACGTGATTCTGTTTGAATACATTTGAGGCAAGGCTTTTAAAATGGACTACAGTCTAGTCTTTCTTGACAACAAAACAACAAAGCCCAGCACATGAGCACTCTCACTCCAGGAATCATTTACTAAGTACATCTTTATTAATAATGATTGCACAAGTCAACAGAACTTTCTGTAGTGACACAACAAGACGGGAGGACACTAACTCACAGAGGTCTGGTATGCACACGTAATGCAAGCACAGGAATACCTCCATTTATTTTTAACACCTTCTAACTTCCATCCCTAGGGAGAGTGTTTCAAGGCTATCTAAAGCTTTAACACCAGATTCACATTTAGATTGTCAAAAATTGCATCACCAAATACCTTGTTAGCCTTGAAAACCTCTGCAAGTTCTTAAGGTGATTTTCTAAAGCCCTCTATGTTGGCAAAACACTGCCTCAACAAAAGTGGTGAGAGCTTCACCTGTGCATTTTATGTCACGCCTCATTTACACTTTTAATAACTATTTCTGATGATGCAGGAGGATCCCATTTAAATCAATCAAAGGAATGAATTTCTGAATTGCCTGAGAAAGATGAACAAGCCAACACTCAAATATGTATCTTCCCAGTAGCTGGCCCACCCCACATCTCTCAGGAGAAACCACTTCCGCACCAACCACAAGTTTCATTTGCTGAAAATTATGTCTGCAGCTTCCCTCCAATTGAACTATTTAGAAAGATCACTGCTGCCCTATGGAGTAGGATAGCCACCTTCCTCCATGAAATATGCTTCAGAAGATCTTCCCCTTCCAGTCTTGGGAGCAAGCAGGTGCAGGAATCATCGTTTCTAAATGCGGAGTATGGGGATAATCCTTACTTGTTCAGCTGTTGGTATATTACAGAGCAGCAGGCAAAATTGCAAATAATACTGAAAAGTGGGTAACACCTTGTAGCTTCCTGGTGGTTAAAAGGAGAGGCAAAGTCCTCATACCGTAAAGGCTGGTAGCAGGTGGGCAGAGCAGTAAGTTCTGACACTCTTGAGCTGACCCTGCAGCAAGGTGAGGCCACAAAGCCAAGGTTTCAAACATCCCAACTGAAAGGCATTTATACTTTCTTTGATGCATATGCTGTGCAGTTACCAGTTCTGACACCTGCACAAGGTGATCTGTAGAGAACTTGTGGGTTTTGCTTGGAAATGTAGATAAACTGAGGACAGATTTGTGTTCCTACTATAACTTATTTTATAAAGTAGTATTTATATAGACAGATCTGCCTTTTAAGTATAATCATTGTGCCAGAAGTACTAGTTCCATCTTTAACTAATAATCTTGGCTTTTATTGTAATATAACCAAGCTACTAGTAAAATAATTATATTTTGTGCAACCTATTTGTGCAACCCCAGTTCACCTTAGGACTCAGCTAGGCACCAAGCCCTTCTCTGATCTCAGCCAAATCTGTATCTGGTAGAGTTGTATGAAGACAGAAAGCACTAGCCGGTGCCCACTGCTACCATCACCTTCTGTTGTTCTTGCTGTTGCTTCCCATCCTGTACAACAAAGACCAAGCTCAAAGGCACCACCATCCATCCCTTGGCATTGCACTTGTTGTATGCTACTGTGGAAGCATTTTCTACACAGTGCTGTTCAGCCACATCTGTAATGCAGGGGTAAAGATGAGAACAGAACCTGTCACTGACACCACCAGAAATAACCAGAGGAAGATCCGATCCAGGACTTGAGCTACAAATTTCCAGTCTTGGACTACCTAGGAAGGAGAGAGGGGGAACAAACAGTAACAGTAATGAACCCAGTACTTCATTGATAGTGCTACATATATTTCAGTTCTAAAAAACAGATTTTAAAATGAGAACTTTGTAGTGTGCTATATCCTAAAGCTGATGTGGATCACCTTTTCAGCACCCATAGCTGCGAGTTACTCTGAACAACAAAACAATTTTATAATTTTCATTGCACATGATAATCAGACTTCTTTCAGCCTGCGCAAGAGCTTTTAGCTAAGTGCATATGTGAAAGTTTATAGACTCAAGATTGAAGATGGCTTTGCAATGAACCGGGTTTCTTTTCACAGAACTGCATTTCCCTTGAAGCGCTAGGGCTTGGTTCTAGCAAAGCACTTTGGTGCAGACATTGCTTCCAGTACAAGTGGTCCCATTGGCTTGTGTTTGCTTAAGTGGTCTGCTGGCTCAGACTGTGTGCATTCAGGAGGGTGATTTTATGTTGTAAGTATTGTCACAACCCTGCACACTCAACAGCTATTTATAAAACAATTCAAGGGACCTTTTTTATTATTATTATTTCAGCTTCATACTACATTTGATTTACCATTCATCTTGCTGCTGAAGTTCTTCTGGTATAGTTTGAACAAAGCCCTGGCTTTTGCTAGGAGGGTGCTAAAAGTTTTTCTCTTTCCATATACTACTAGGTGCATCACTCTGCTGCCTTAACCTCACATGACATGCATTGTTTATGCACACAGTAATCTGCCATTTTAACAGCCAGGTGGATTGTTGGGAGGAAGAGAAAGATGGTATCTAGGGATTAGCTTGAACTGATGTTAGTGAAAATCTAGAAGACCTCCACTCAAAACAGAGCAGCTACATTGCATATAGTCACTGGGAGGCCAGGACCGAGACCTAGTAAATGATGCAGAGCTTGCCTGTAGCTGTTGGGAAAGATACACTTTCAGAGCATGTGAAAATGCAGATGTTTTCCAGATTCATGTCTCTCCCCAGCTTAAGCAGGACAAGGTTATTTAAACAATCCCAAAGCAGGAATTCCTCCAGGTGAGGCTGCTGTGGCCTCTTGTGTCTGTGAAGAGCAGTGACTCTCACAGAACGATACAATTCTACTTGAAGAAATGTTTTTTCCCAGAAACTATATTATTTATCAGTCTGGAGAAGCTCCCACGACACATCTCAGGTGAGAGCAGGAGAAAGAAGCAAAGGGAAAGGCATGCAGAAAAGGTATGAGCTTGGAAGCCATTGACATTAAGGAAACTGTGATCCCTCCCTTCACCTACCTGTCTGATGAAATGTTCCTTTTTAACATGCCTGGAAATGTATCGAATCGAGTCGGCTGCCTTTTCCAGAAAGGCAATAACAATTTTCTCTCCATCTTTTGCTTGCTTGTGTTTCTGCTTCTCTGGGGGCTTTGATTTCAAGGTGGTTTCCTTTTCTTCAGTGTCTGAGAAGGAGTAACGATCTACATGGCCCTTCATGCAAAGCAGTCGAGGCAACTTCTGGAGGAACAGTTTTTTAACCCAGGGAGCCATGGGATGGTAAGTGGCTGAGGAGCGGTGGTGAACGTTGATAACAAACACAGTCACAATGATAGAGAGGGTCACAAAAATCATGATGAACAGCAGATACTCACCAATAAGAGGGATGACTTTGGAAGAAGAAGGGATTATTTCCTCAATCACTAGAAGGAAAACAGTGAGGGAGACTAGAACTGATGTAGACAGTGAAAGCTTTTCTCCTTCATCTGAAGGTAGGTAAAACACCAGGACAGTTAGAAATGACAGTCCCAGGCAAGGTATAATTAAGAAAAGAGTGTAAAACAGTGGAAGACGTCTCAATACAAAGGAGTAAGTGACAAACGGGTAAGAGTACAGCCCATCTTTCCTGTTGCCTTTCATTCCTTTGGCGTTTAAGATCTCCCACTCCCCATTATCAAAGAAGTCTTTCCTGTCTACATTTTCATCCACTAAAATCAAGTCCACCATACTGCCATCGTAAGTCCACGACCCAAACTTCATGGAGCAGTTCTGCCTGTCGAATGGGAAGAAGGTCACGTCCATCATGCAGGAGCTCTTATAACTGGCTGGTGGTGTCCAGGTCACCACTCCATTGTACTTCACTATAACTTTGGTCATCAGGGATCCTTCAAAACGTCCATCAGCACTGGAAGTTGGACAGGAAGAAACAGTACCAAGTTCAAGACTCCATTTGTCCCAGTCTTACCCCCACATAGCTCTGCTTCCTACCCATCACCTGGAGCACAAGGGAATCCAATGTTTATACTGCCTAAAGAAGCAGCTTTCTGACAGCACACACAAGCCTCACAATGGCTGACGTGCCTTGCCCAAGGTCTGGCCTAATCCCAGAGGAAGGAGCCATGCTACTCACTTTTCAAATAAAACAATGTCGGGAAGCCACAGGGACTCGGAGGGGACACGGATGGCAGTGATACCACCATATTCCTCTGGATTCCAGGAGAGCTTGTGGTCAGTCCATTCCTGTAACAAGCCAGCAGAGTCCTCTGCCCACACATACACAACAGCCTCATCCCTCCTCCCACCACATGCCTCGGAGGGACTGCACTGCACAGCACAGTGGGCAGAGCTTGGTGTAAGACTGCTCAGCTGCAGAGGCTGCCAGGCAGGCATGGATGGGAGATGTTAATCCCCAGGAGCACTGCCCCTCCATCCGCAGGTGGGCCACATCAACCCATCCCTCTGCAGGAAACTCCAAGGCAGGCACTCCCCAGAGAGCACTGACTCCCAATACACTCTC